ATTTATTTCAACCTTGCAAAATACTAATAAATAAATTCGAATCTAGGGCATCATAATAATGCTCTTGGTCTATTTCCCAACGATCTTGGTGCATGATAACGATTTTGACATGATTTGATCAGAATACATATGGTCATATGGTCAATAAAAATACATCAAATTCATGTTTCCGGCATTGAAAGCTTTTACAACTCTAAATTCATGTGTGAAGACTAATTTTGGGTACATTTTGCTCTAAAACTTTTGACCTAGACCACAGAGAAGAATATTGAATTGTTACACATCTAAGTATCAGGGAATAATCTAGCGACAGTCCGAACTCGATACATGACCTAGGCAATGAAAATATGTTGATTTCTATTATACTGAGCCCACAGTGTTTCCTGTTCCCGTTTTACTCGAACTCCTATAACTTTTGTTCCTGTTGAGCCAGCTTCCTAAAAATCAATAGCGTCCGACCCTCGATACGACCTTAATGTCCAATAAGTATCTACTCGTACGCCATTTCAACATGATCGGTCACTTTTAAAAAGAGTTATAGACATAGTGCACACGGACGAACGGACAATACAAAACTATAAAGGCTCTGCAGATCCTTAATAAATTAGTGTAATTTAGAGTTTTGAACAAATAATAATAGGTATAAAGGTAACGAAATACATTTCAATTGAATTCAGCTTTTTTTCGACTTCTAATAATAGCATTGTTTAAAGACTTTATAATAAAATCCATACATTCTGGGTAAACTCCCATACAAATGAATACCGAACGATCTTCGAAATTGTTTTTGGCTCGATAGTCTGTCTACCTCTACGTAGCTGAAAAACAATAACGACCTTTCTGATTTGTGTTAAAATTCAAAGGGATATGGGACGTTTTTAAACAAAGTTATCGTGCACACTGAACTGACAGACAGACAGACAGCAATACAAAATTATAAACGATCTCGAGGATCGTTAAATGTGAATAATCCACATTACGTCAAAAAAATTGGGCAAATGTTACGATTTACCTTTTACAGGGATGGTATTGTAGGAACTTGAAATCAGAGTGTATTTACTGCACCGTCGCATGCTTTTTTTAATACAAACTTAAAGCAAAATTTACTACCAGATTTTAATTATCGTAATTTATCTTGTTTGAACGCCACCAACTCACCCCGGAACAAAAATTATTATAAATGCGAATTCGCTTAAACACACAATAGGTAAAAACAAGTAATACGCATAGGTACCTACGTAATATATTATAAGCGCAGTGAAAAAAAACGGTCTTTACTTTAGAGCTTCAAATAAAGATTAAATAAAATATGTCACTCTTTCTCTTAACAGTAAAGTAAAAGGAATTTACTGTCGAACTAAACATCAGCGTTTTGTTTATATAGTATAATCGTAGCCGTATAGAGTTACAACTTGCATTCTTACTCAAGGTCGCCTCAGTTACGCTGTGCAGCCGATCGGGTTACATTGAAGGAGAGCCATCTGTTGACGATTTTTGCAGGCCTTACTAAAAAGTCTGTAATGATAAAGCGCAACCTTTCGTCGTAAACTGTCACTACTTATTTAGACCACGATAGTAGCGCCAACTGGATTTTCTAGACCAGAACTACTTATTTCGTTCAAGTAATATTTCCATATGGTTGTTTAACTATAAAGTATTTAAACAATGCTTATACTTACTCCTGAGATAAAGTCTTGATTTTCATTAGAACTCAAACTGACAGGTACACTTGAAGTCCTTGTAGTATTTTTCGTACTGCCGCTTCGATTTTTCAGGTACTAACTGCGACACAGCAGAATTCGCAACAAGTTTTATTTCCGGAGGAGTTCCGAATATCGAAGAATCACTTTCGGAGTCATTCACACAATCACATTTTGACTTTTCTTTCACGAAAAATTATTCATTGTTTATCTCATTTCCATGGTAAAATGAAAACTGGCCGTCTTTCTATTTGCAACGAAAATTATTATTTTTGAAATCTCATTTTTATTTATTGACGATTCTACGCAATTGCACAATAGTATATTGAAAGACAAGTGTTACAATGCGACCTATTGTAATACGACTATCCTGTGGCACGAGTGGCGACGCGAAGCGTAGTCACGAGTGTCCGCAAGATAGGAGTATTACAATAAAGCATTGTAACACGCGTTTTTCATACTATTTTTTCTATTTCGGTGCTTTAATTTAATTTAAAAAAATGTTGTGTATACCACGGCCGCGTCATTCTTTAACGCCCTCAAAGTTGCCTTGCCTCGCAAGCGGCCTCGGCGCCAATCTTCTTTTCGGTACGTTAAAGAATGACTTCGCGGCCTAAGTATACAAATAACTATTATTATGAATTCTCGTTGAGCAGAGACGGTAAATTGATATTTGTAAGAAGTCGCCGAAATTTTAAATTTTATTCGCATGTTTTAGACGCTAGGTACTTACAATACTCTGTAATCGAAAACTTCATCCGTGGTTGGTTATATCCACGGTCGTATACCGGGTGGTGCCTACCGCGACGCAGCATAGGGATTTCATTGGTAATTTCTTATAGTCAATTACTAGCTCCCCTAATTATTTTAGAGCAAAAGTCTAAATACATTTTTTAGCACATTTTTACAAAGTTATTTGTAAAAAGTAGCTTTTAATCTCACTTTGGCTGGCTGGCTGGCTGGTCGGCTGACTGGCTGGCTGGCTGGCAGCAAATGTGGGCGCGTAGAAGAACTCTTGTAGAAAGGCAACGGGTGTACGTGTATCTACAAGGCCGTGTAATTTGTAAACCTTGGGGACAGGGCTACATGATGTGGGGTTGGCGACATCTGGGCGTCGTCCTCGAGCGTAGTATACTAACGTGAAGGTTTTTCAGTTTTTTCCTATCTTCTACTACAGTTTTGGTCCGATTCTTTTCAAATTGGTGTCGTCGGAAAGATGTTGTAAACGCGCACAACTCCTTCGTGGCGGAATTTTGTTTTTTGTCCTAGGGGCGAAATTAACGACCTTTTGCGAGGCGCGCGCGCGTCTTCGAGAGGTAGTCTACTTCGGGCGTCTTTTACCTTCCGTTGCGAACTCACGCGGTTTAACGTTTCGTAAATATCGAATCGCTGTCTCTCTTTCTCGTGTCGCCAATAGAAGTGAATTGCGAGTGAACGGGACGTCGGAAGTGGGTACCGTCAAAGGGAATGTGGTAGCCCGCGACACGATCTTCAAACGCGAATTGCGGGTGAACGGGACGTCGGAAGGGGGTACCGTCAAAGGGAATGTGGTAGCCCCCGACACGATCTTCCTGATGTTGGAGTCAAATCTTCAAACGCGAATTGCGGGTGAACGGAACGTCGGAAGTGGGTACCGTCAAAGGGAATGTGGTAGCCCCCGACACGATCTTACTGATGGTGGAGTCAAAACTTTAAAAGCGAATTGCGGGTGCACGCGGAAAGTGGGAAGCGGTTAGTGAATGTAGTAGCCTTCGACAAGATCTGTTATTGATGGTTGAGTCGAAAGTGGCTAATAGAATACTGATCTGCCACACAAAAATGCGCTGAAGTCCCTTCGATCTCAAACGAGGACTTTGATAATTTTTATAAATCAGTGATGCTTTGGAATCTTTTAACAAAATACAAGCGCATCGCATCTAAGTTATCGTTGTTTGACGTCGAACGATTTTCATATTTAATTCTGTTTCAAATAACCGCTGCAAGAAATAGTATATTATATACCGCGGGACTGAAGTAGTACTTTTAATCCCGAAGGTAAAGTTTATATAATTTACCTGAGGGATTAAGACCACTACTTCAGTCGCAAGGTATATACGATATTTTTCGTACTTCCGAAACTGAAACACTTAATATGTATGGATTTATAGAACGCGTTCTTTAAAAAATCGCTGCTTAACAAGTTACCATAGGAACGTCGCGTTGGTACGACAATCCCTATGCTATGGTAACAAAAGTAATTTGGAAACTGTCATTGCTAGTGTCATAATTTTGGTGGTGGGTGACAAAGGTGTATTTGATATTGATAAAAAGCAGCCAAAGTAGATAAAGAATTGATGCCACCGAAATCCAAAAAACTATATGAGGAGCAGTACGGTGCGTTTAAGAAGTAGTGCCGCATACAAAATGTGGAACAACCTACTGAAATTGCCTTGTTAATAATTTCATCCTTCCGGGATTTTCGTCCAAATTTAATCCCGGCGGGACAAAAAGTGACACTTCAGTACTTGTCATAATGGAGTGAAGTTGCCACTTTAGTTTCGGAAGTACGAAAAAGCGTTTATTTGTTACTCAGTTGTAAACGTTGATTAACAAGACAAAACGCAAACGGGTAAACGTCATGTTTAAACGCTACTGACTTGTAAAACTGACAGCAGACCTGTAAAAATTTTACAAGTTAGTAATCTAGTCATTTCATTGGCCAGAATTAATGCGAAGTCTCTGTTACATGGATAACATGATATTTTAGACATTTCTTCAAGATCAATTTAAGAACTGATTATTTACGTTTACAAATGAGTAACAAATAAAATATTGTACATTATACGCCAGGTAATAGTTTTTACTGGCTCTAGGAGATGACAAGCTCGCCTAATGGCTCGCTAGTCAACTTCTCCTATCGCCAGTAAAAACTCACTTACCTGGCTAATAATGTAAAATACTATTATGAGGTAATGTTTTTTTAGAGAATGTAATGCTGCATCTGTATCAGATACTATTTGTTTATCATTTTCCGGAACCAGAGTAATAATCGAAGAAAAAGAAATTGATTTCAGGAAGAATTGTTCTTAAACTTAAATTTGAATTTTCCGCTACTGCAGCCAAAACGTTGAATGTATTGTCGTTTTCCTGATGGGTTTGACGGACATTTTGAACAATATTGCACTTGCAGTGATTTAACACTGTGCCTGTTTTTTCAAACTTGCGCACAATTCTGTCTACTGTGGTACTGCTTCGATTCGGCCGATTGGGGTGTTTCATACTAAACCCAGACGTTACTTGGCGGGTATAAAACAACTTTATTTCATACTGGTATCTTAACTACTACATAACATTTTTGTTTTAAACAAAATAAACAACGTCTGAATTCCCGCTGTCATTGGCAACGGGAATTCGAGGCTACTTAATTCCCTCATGGCGGGGTTGACATAATCTTAACTAGATCACGTTAATTTTCAATGTTATCACACTTCGTTACACCGACACTAGCATTAAGATCGTTGCAATTTCCACCCATATCAAATTTGCAATGATTAAACGTGCAGTTCGCGAAAACAGAAGAAAGATGTTGGCTGCTACCAGTTACCATACAACCTATATCAGTCGTAACCGAAGTGGAAGCTTTTTCTGTAACTGTTGAAAAAATCCTCTTTTGAACATCCATTTTTCGCGGCATCGATTGATCAACGTAACTTTGAGCAACCTTTGAAGACTTCCAATCCCCATGCATTTGAAGACTGCACAAATCGCCCCCTCCTTCAATTAACGAAGTAGCAGAAGTTCTTCTATAGCAATGCCCCGTGTAACCAGAGGGATTCGACAACTTCAAAAATTTGGCAATTTCACAGGGTAATTTTGAAAATGAGTTCTTCCCCACTGGTTGCGTAGTGCACCTTTCATTGCGATAATTCAAAAAGAATCTGTTGTGTGGAACGTTGGGAGGGCGCAATTTGATGTAAGCTCTAAGAATACCAAGACAATCCACCGCAGTCTCATCAATAACAGTAAAATAACGATCTTTGTGAGTTTTTGTATCCACCAAATTTACGACGAAAACAGTTCCTCTATCCTCAACATCACCAACCATTAAATTTACTAGCTCGCATGTCCGACAACAACCAGCTATTCCCAATACAGTTACCACCTAAAAACGGTTAAATCAACCAAAAAACGTGGAAATATTTTTGATTGCACTCACCTTCACGAATAAATATTTTTCATCGGGGGCGCGCTGGAGGAATTCGATTACTTGTTCTCGACTCAACACCTGTGACTTCTTTGGTTTATATCCTACATTTTTCGCTTTTAAAAACGAAATCAAGATACCATACTTAGAAATGTCAATCTTTTCATGCAAACGCAGCATCGCTCTCACCATAGAATAATACGTCCACAGGCAGGATGGTTTACATATCTTGGATCGTTCCGAAAAATAGGCAAGAAGAGCTTTTTCAGAAGCTCCTGTTACATTTTTTTCTCGTCGCCACGTGCAAAACCGGGCAAATTCCTTCTTATATGCCTTTTTAGATTTTATGGGAACCAAACACTCTTCAGCCTGCGCAATTTCACTGAGAACATCCTCAGAAAAGTTTTCCTCAAATTCCATGGGATCTTCCAAATCGTAAACTCGGAAATTCGAAGAATAGGTAAACTCAATTAACGTATTTATTTTAACGTCAAACAAATACATCACCAAGACAACGATGCAACACCCACTATTCGAAAATTTTATTCATCATTTTATCATTTTATTCTTTTCCTATTCGTTTCAATATTTAAAACCAGTATGAAATAAAACTATGAATGCATCACGTGAATTAAAATGCGGCAAATTCCCTTGAGAAACTAATTCTCTCGGCCTACGGCCTCGAGAATTACATGTTTCTCGCGGGTATTCACCGCATCTTAATTCCCTTGATACATTAATAGCTAAACATTTCCCACTTTCTCTTCAGTTAAATCCGAGGTTAAATCATTGAATAAAATAGTGTTTTTATTCAATGGTTAAAACATGAATAAACAATTTTATGATTAACTAATTTAAACAAGTTTAAATTTCTTTATTTGTTACTCAGTTGTAAACGTTGATTAACAAGACAAAACGCAAACGGGTAAACGTCATGTTTAAACGCTACTGACTTGTAAAACTGACAGCAGACCTGTAAAAATTTTACAAGTTAGTAATCTAGTAATTTCATTGGCCAGAATTAATGCGAAATCTCTGTTACATGGATAACATGATATTTTAGACATTTCTTCAAGATCAGTTTAAAAACTAATTATTTACGTTTACTATTGTTTACAAATGAGTAACAAATAAAATATTGTACATTATGCGCCAGGTAATAGTTTTTACTGGCTCTAGGAGATGACAAGCTCGCCTAACGGCTCGCTAGTCCACTTCTCCTATCGCCAGTAAAAACTCACTTACCTGGCTAATAATGTAAAATACTATAATCGTCAAAAGCAAGTAATGAAACGTGATCGCTGTTTTTTCGGTAATTCCAAGGCAGATCTGATTTATTGTAAAATGAACCTTTTTATTTTGTCGATTTCTACTGTTTTGAAAAACGGAAAACTATGAATAGGTAATAGTATGAACAGATGCAGTATTTTTTTCTCTAAAGGAAACGTATTTAGACTTTTGCTCTAAAATAATTAGGGGAGCTATACTCTGTTTTTTAACTAGGAAGACGGATTTAAAAACCTGATTTACACTGAAAATGTCACTAGAATCTAGTAACAAAAATAATACTCATTTTATACAGACATGTATTGTGGGTTGCGTGATGTGTTTTTCTTTCACATTTGGATAGATTTCATTATTTATGCTTTTGGGTTATTATTTGGTACGAACTTCTTTATATTATGCATACATCATACTTTTAAAAGCAAATTATAAAAAATAGGTAATACATTGATAAGGTAATCATCCTGCATAGGTACATTATTTTGAATTGTAGTTTTAAATGTTTTATCAGTTGTAATACTACACAATCCACATTACAATTTACAACAAATGTTAAGTTATTGAACAAATTCAGAACAATGGAATTATATACTCATATTATTAAACAGCAGTGAACTACTGCTTTATGTATAAGCGATTTAGTCACTGTTTTCCGAAAGTTTGCAACGCCAACTTGGCAAATAGCCGAAGCAGAATACAATAACCAAATAATAATGCAGTCACCTATGGCGCTACCACCCTACCTGCAATTCCTCCTCCCACTGTCAACTCGACTCAAATAAGTATAGGCAGCGCACCCTTGCTCTAGCTCAGGGAGACGGGTGGGGTTCCACGTTGGCCGGAACCAAATCCTAAAAGTGATACAAAAGTTGTGGGCGCCACCGACTCGGATTCCCAACCGCTGCTCTAGTACCGGGAGTCTGTCCGTAGATGGTAATTTAAAGAAAGAATCGAGCGACAGCTCACGTACCCAGGGTACTCACACACTCTCGCAATCAAAACACAAATACATACAACTTGACTAGCCCTCTTTAATAACTATTTAACAAATCTCCAAAAAAAAATTGTAAGTAATAACAAGAGTAAATAATAGAATCTGCAACTCGTACCACACAAACCAATTAAACGGTCGCCGAATCAAGTACCCAAAATCCCCCCCTTTTTAAATGACAACAAGCAATAAATAATCCAAAATTTAAAGGACAACAATCAACCCCCCTATGACTTCGACGTCGAACACCCGAGTAGCAGGGAATAATATCGGATTTCCGATTTAACTGCTACCATAAAACGTACCAAGCAAATGTACGCAATACGAACTATTACACCGATCAGTTACACATAAATATTTAAGATACCTGGTGATGCATCACAAAGAATCAATTTGGGGCCGCCTGATTTGCTGCAACCCAACACACAAAATTCAATAAATAAATATATATATCAGACTTACCACAGTGCGAAATCACAGAAGGTTACCCATATTAAAAATCTATCATGCATAAATAACATATATAAAACCCCTTAAGTGTTATGACAATGACCAGCAGCTTTCACTGGTCCCGACCCTGATACAAGAAACAAATAATTTCCAACAAAAAAAGAAATATGTGACACACAAATAAATGTACTTGATTATGCCGGTGACGCTATTCAATAGGTATGTTAATTAAGTGAACTCATAATCGTTACATTTAACCGGTTATGCCAGGTTCCAATATTAATTACACAACCAACAATCTCCCAGTATCTTACTTGAGATACGAATGACTTCAACTAATTACTAACAAGTCGGGTTAAGCCAACAGCTAAATAGAATCCATCAGATTCTCTGCTAGTAATAATTTACGTGAAATTCCAAACCTCGCATCAAAAGTAACGTTTTCCAGAGGTGTCAACAGCATGTACACGAAACAACCAACAATCCACTTAGCTGTGCGGGTCCTCGCCTCTCGGTAACTCGAAGGGATCGCAATGGGACGGTAACGGTGAACAGCAAAATCGGCAACGATGTCTCGGAGCTGTCTCCGACCAGAACGATCAAGTCCTCGGACAGGTGTCGCGCTCGAACTTGGTACACGACGATTCCACCCAGTTAACGGCTTCCCTCAATTACAGCCACGCATAAAATTCCTCCGACGTTACGACAAATAACCCTCCATGCGGTACAGACAATCACAGTTAAACGGGTCTCCCCGGGACTCGAACTCGAACAGTTTTACATATCCTTCGCAGCTCACATCCAATACCAAAACTCCAGTCTGATTACACGAGACCCACGACTGTTCCCACGCCGATAAGTGACAAAACAAATACTAGATTCACGTGGTAATGTAGATCCGTCACCCAAATCCGCTGCAAATATACCCCGTATGAAATAACGAAATGACCACAAAAGAGTAAGGAATGACTCTTAACTTCGACCTGAAGCGGATGATCAAAATAAATGCCGATAAACGCCTTGTTGCATAAAACCCGGCCAAGCCGCGTGCTAGACCAAAGCACCAATTAAGTGGATATCAATTAAATCCCGCTAAACGGCATCGAGACAACTCCCCAAATATCCAATTCCAATATCCAAACGGATGCCTCAATGAACACAATTAATTCCAACTTTTAAATGCGCAACATTTCTTTTCGGCGTGCTAACACAAAATGCCCTCAGATCGCCATTTCCTTGTCCCGCCACCGGTTTTTTAATCGTAAACCCCAAGGTAACGAAATAGGGACTCCAAGCGGTAAAAAGAGAAATTACCTCACGGTGGCCAAATCTATACACGACACAATCCATACTGCCTAAAGATATAAACAGCCGTTACAAGTTCACTAAAACTGTCGCACTGTCCTCCGATCCGAGTGAAATAATTAATGGTTCTATAAGTGTATCCATTAGGCCATCCCAATCTACACATCTTGTTTTCTTCCTTAATAATGTGTTGCACACAATTCCGCCAATCGTCAGAGCTCACATTTGCAACAGCCTTATGACCACCGGGACGTTTCGAAGGGGTAACAATGCCAGTACTTCGATATTCTTTAATTATCCAGGATACTGTAGATCGTGCAACTCCTAAAATGTGTCATACTATAACAACTAAATATATTGATTCATTAGAACTGATGACAGTTTGAATTTCCCACAAAACAAAAATTTTTAAAGGTTGGTAATAATAGATTATCATTTGCCTAATTCCAGTGGTGTATGTAGAATCACTCTCCAAGGAGTAATAATTTATTTTTAATTATACAAATAAGTCGTTATTATTTAAATCGTTATTAAATCAATCAGAATAATTACGTCGATTATTATAATCAAGAGCGTGCAGTTGCTGTAGAACAGAAACCCGGTACGGGTGTATGTATACGTAGATCTTTATGCAAAATTCGTTGGCATGTTGCATAGACACTCCTGTAATTCGAAAATAAAGTTAGTAGGTATAATATTCATTCTACGTGTACCGCTTACCAGCTTGGGCACTTAACTGACGGATTGATTTTCTGGAACTCGCTTCCATTCTTTGTCTTCGACCACTTCCTCGTTTCTTAGTAATGGATGACCTGATGATTGGCAAATGCTTTATAAGAAATAATAAGATCGGGACACTCTTCCTTCCATAAACTGCTCTCGACAGGACTGGAGGATCCTCAAGAAGGGGATTTTTAACCTACAAATGCACATTAGTCTAATTTAACCGTTATTTAATTACTTACTTCAACAAATTCTTGAATTTACAGCGTCGTTTTGGAAAGAACTGTTTGATAATACAGATTGGAAAAGTAAATTAAAAACAACAACAAATTAACGAAATAACGACGGCACTGGTGACTAATAAGAATTAGTAAAATAACTAAAAATATATCATCGCCAATTCAATCACGTAAAAAACACTAGAATTGTACGCGCGAAATTCAAACTGTCCTCAGTTCTAATGATTCACCCGGTACCTACATCATTATTTACGTTACCTGTGGTAGATGCAATTTTCAACACAAGCGTAGCAAAATTCATATCCGGAATATCA